GCCCACTGCACCAGCTCGCATCAGATATTGCAAGACCTCTGGGGGGCAAAAGGCCGGAGGAGGAGGAAGTGGAGTGGAGAGCTGTTCCCTCCCTCCTCCCTCTGCTGTTCCTCCTCCTCCTCCTCCTCCTTTGCTGTTCCTCCTCCTCCCCCTGCTGTTCCTCCTCCTCCCCCTCCTTGGTGAAGTGCTATCCTCCTCCCTCTGCTGTTCCTCCTCCTCTCCTTTGTCTCTTCTCCCTCCTCCCCCTCCCATCCCTGGCCCCGCGTTGCCCTTCCGACCCCCGCCCTCCGGCGCGCAGGCGACCTCGCTGGGATCCTGCGGCGGGTCGACCTGCAGCGCGGCGAGGGCCGAGGAGAACTTCGCCAAGGCGTCCTGGCGGGCGGGCGAGGGGGCGGATAAGGAGGAGGAGGACGAGGACGATGAGGAGCAGGGATGAGGAGGAGAAGGAGGGGGAGGAGGACGAGGAGGAGGAGGGGGAGGAGGAGGTGGAGGAGGAGGAGGAGGAGGAGGAAGAGGAGGAGGAGGAGGAGGAGGAGGAGGAGGAGGGGGATAAGGAGAAGAAGGGGTAGCCAGGGCAGGAGGAGGAGGAGGAGGGGCAGGAGGAGGGGGAGGACGAGGAGGAGAAGGGGGAATGTCACCCCAAGGCAGTCCTTGCTGAGGCCAGCAATGGCGCCGCCCACCGCGTGGGACCACGCAAATAGGTTCTCGAGGCTGTCGACCCGGAGGAAGTGGCACAAGTCAAGATGCACTGGCACCCCATCAAGCACCTGCAAAGACGCCTGTAAACCCTGAGACCAGGTCCGCTTCATCACGACCACGACGGCCAAGTGCCTGTCCACACGTTTGTGACCAAGGCGCACGGCCTTCTTGTCCTCGGGGCGAGCCTGCAACACTTTGAAAAATACAGCATCGGACATGTCCAAGTCATCAGGGATGCGCACCCCCTGCTGTTCAACAAGAGCAAGTAACATGTGGCGGGGCGGAAGCAAAGCAGCAACAGCACCCGCGTGGTCTTCAGCCCCTCGAACGGCCTGCTGAAACGTGGGAGCGGGGCAAGACCACACAGTGTTCGGCCTGCTGAGCTTCTGCTTCAGGTACTGAATCATGACCATGAACGCCTGAGATGTCGAGGGCTTGCTGACCACTGGGTTCGATAGGGGGCCAGTCGCAGACGACCACTGCTTCATAACATCTTTGGGCTTATCCACGTTGCGATGTTGTTGCTCTGGGCTGTACAAGAACATGGCCTCCAGGGGGCTTCCAACCCGCAGCAACTTGATCTTCCACCTGTCTGATGGCGGGTAGAGGCCTGACAAACACCTGTGAGCGATGTGCTTATCAGAAACGCCCGCGCAAACGAAATCGAAAAAGTCTGCGTTGCAGCGTAGCTGTGCACAGAGATCTTGCTTTTTCAACGCAACGTTCACCCATGCTGGGCCACTGCCAGTGGCTCGTGCTTGAGCTCGCTTCACCTGTGAGTGGACGCCTTCCACGCGCCTGCTCACGCAAGATGCGAAGGCGTACTTCCGCAGCTCGACCTCGACATCGACGCCGAGGTCACCACCGCCAGCAAATGCTTCGAGCTGCTGACGAAAAACATTATCCTCGCCAACGCACAAATGATGTGCGACGCGATGCAATCGTTGGCCATCGCCACGTGCGATAATCTCATCTCTCTCCTCCAAGCATCGCCGCACCCGCTCTCTGCAATCCTGTCGGGGAAAGGTGGCAGAGGTGACGGAGGTCAACGAGCGGGAGGAGAGGAAGGGCGAGGAGGAGGGGAGGAGGAGGAGGAGGAGGAGGGGGGGGAGGAGGAGGAGGGGCTCGAGACGGACGAGGGTGAGGGAAGGACGCCGATGGGGAGAGCGGGGGCGAGAAGGAAGAGCGGGGGGGAGGGACAAGGAGGGATGAAGAGGGGAGGGGGGGAAGGAGATGGAGGATGAGAAGTCTTTACCCTCCTCCTCCCAGGTTTGCTTTGGCCCAAAATCCTGGACGTCCCTCTCAGCATATTTTGGCCCCAGCGCAGCTAGCAGTCCAAGAGGTAGCTCAGTGTAGAAGGACAGCTTGGACATCAGCAAGTTCGAGAGGCCTAGCTTCAAATCCTGGCCATCTTTAGCCAGCGTTGCCCGATCAATATCCCCGCACGAAATCATGAACCTGGCAAGCTGGGTCGAATCTGCTTCGAGAATTTGAGTTCGGATGTGATCGAGCCGACCGCTGGCCAATTCGAGAGCCCGCCTTCCCTTCCAAGGGCAGCCCTCAGACTTGCGCATGTACTCGGCGTAGCCTTTGCTCAAGTAGTGGGCGCGGCAACGGCATCCCCCGAACCAGGCAGCCACCTTGCCCAAAACCCTGCACATCGAGGCAACCAGGCGGGTCCGGCCTTCCAGCCCAGGGGAAGCGAGGGCAACTTTGACGCGGTCCACGATGGCAGCCTGCGCACCCGGGGCCGGTGACAAGCGAGAGTGCCGCGGGAGAGAGGACGAGGAGCAGCCGGATGAGGAAGAGGAGGAGGGAGGGGGGAGGGATGAGGAGGATTTGGAGGAAGAGGAGGAGGAAGCCCAGGAGGAGGAGGTCGAGGAGGATAGCGAGAATGAGGAGGCGGCGGGGCAAGACGAGGAAGAGAAGGAGGGCCATGGATGGCGAGGACAAGGAAGAGGAGGGCGAGGGCGAAGATGAGGAGCAGGATGATGAGGAGGGGGTGTACAATAATGTCTACGAGAGGGAGGGCGAGGGCAAGGGGGACGAGGGCGAGGAGGAAGACGCGAGGATGATGATGACGAGGCGGACGACGACATGGAAGAGAGGTAGGAAGAGGCGGAGGAGGAGGAGGAGGAGGAGGAGGAGGAGGAGGAGGAGGAGGAGGGGGAGGAGAGGAGGGGGAGGAGGGAGAATATTCCTCCTCGCCCTCATCCTGGATCTGCCACCCCCTGGGATTTGCGCCCGCAGGGGCCTCCACGTCCTTCGCCTCGGCCCCGCCCTTCATGGCCACCGAATCGAAACACTCGAGGAGGGCTGGGAGAGCTGCTTGGAGCTGGTCCGCAAACTTCTCGAGGTATTCCCACTTCCAGTCGAAGTGGCCTGATACGTTCCAGGCCTGTATGTATTTTCGTTGAGCAGCGTTGGTGCAACACTTGGCCAAGAGCCTGCTGCGCAAGTCCCGATTGCCGAGCATCAAGGCGATGCTCTTGAAGTGCTTCTCAGTGGTAGCCCACCCAGGTAGAATGGTCACGACGTCCTTCAAGGCATTGTATAATATGTGGAGCCCGTCTGCGATCCCCACGGCCAAGGGCAGAAAAAACGCCTCCACCCCGCCGGCCTGGTTCGGGGGAACGTCGCCAGCCATGATTGTCGCGGCGACGCCAGCGACTTCATCAAGTGATTGCGGTAGGAGGCAAGGGGCATCAACTACCGCTGCCTCGATGCCCTGATCCGTCGTCCAGGACCTCACCTCGTGCCTCGCTTTGTTGAAACCCTCCAGGGTCCCAGTCTCGAGGCGGAGGCTGTGCTGTGTTGCTAAGGCCTTCAGCAGAGTGTTCGCGGCCCCATACCCGAGCGTCGTGAGGGGGAGGTGCCGCGTGATAAATGACGCGTCGAAATGAGCAGACGCCTCCTGAGCGTCGTCGTCGCACCCAGCTGGTCGAGATAATCGGCTCTCGACAATAGCGTAGAAATTATAGCCACCTCGCCGTGGAAAAACAAAAAAAGAAGAAGGAGGAGTGAAGGAGTCGGAGATGGGGCGAGGGAGAGGAGGAGGAAGAGGAAGACGACGACGACGCAACGAGGGCGAGTTGGAGGAGAGCGAGGAGTTAGCCGATGAGGAGGAGGAGGAGGAGGAAGAGGAGCACCGAGGACAAAGGGAAGCAGGAGGAGGAGGGGGAGGAAGAGAAGGAAGAGGGGGAGGGAAGTGCGAGGAGCAGGAGGAGGAGAAGGAACATCAGCAAGAGGAGGGGAAATCATACAAAGACGGTGAAGATGAGGAGGAGTAGGATGAGCAGAAGAAGAAGGAGGGGGGAGATGGAGGAGGAGGAGGGGGGAGGGCGAGTCGGGGGAGCTAGCGGGAGAAGAAGATGATGATGGGCAGGAGGAGGAGGGGGCGGGCGAGGGCGAGGGGGAGGAGGAGGAGCGGGAGGAGAAACAGGAGGAGATGCACGAACGGGGGAGGGGTTCAGGTTGGACAGCCCATCCACCCTGGGGGGAGGAGTCGGCCATCCAGGCCCGGACGAAATTGAACTTCACATTGAGGGTTCTCTGATAGATAATGTCCAACATATTGATTTTGTGTCCGCACTTAGCCAAGACATCTTTCTTGGGCAACGGAGTGGAACCATCTAAAATCCCAGCGACAATCTGATCACGCACGGCAGGGGGGCGCAGAAGTCTGAGGACCTGGACCGCTACGTCGTTCATATCGTGATGTAGACTTCGAAGGGACCCCGACAGGATCCAACACCTCACCAACACCTCAGGCTTGTATTTGTATTTAGCGACCCGAGTGGTCTCCATTGCTGTGTTCGGGATGCGCTGGTCCCTCTGGTGATTTGACTGACGCGGGGCCTCCAACGCATCCATTGGCAGGGGAAGGCCCATCTCCTTCACGTGCACCGCAGTCGTGACAACGTGGGTGAAGGAAGCGCTCAGCACGTCCTCCGCGACCTCCCTCGACAGGCGGAAGCACCGGAGCAGCTGCAAGACCTCGGGGATGCAGACAGGCTTAGCCATGCTTAACCCGCCCGACCCCGAGAAGAGTGGAGAGCAAGGAATGGGTCGGGAAGGGAAGGAAGAGAAAGGTAAGGGAGAGGGAGGCAAGGAAGGAGGAGAGGGGGGGATAGGAGGGGGGGGAGAGGAGAGTTCGGGGGGAAAGGTCAGGTAGGTGCTGGCCCCTGGACCCCCTTCTGCCCTCCTCATCTCCTCTCCCACTTCCTCTTTCCATCCCGTCCTCTCCTTTCCTCTCCTTGACTTCGCCCCCGGGCCTCGCACGACCCAAGGAGTCTCCTGAC